CCACACAGAATGCTTTCTGGGAGTGACATCACTGCTCATAAATTCCCGCGCAGTTACGCAGCTCGAGCGCTTGTGGACTCGTCAGGGATGCTTTTCTCTGGTTCTCTCTCACTCTGCGTGTTTTGGCGTCTGCACTGATCCTGGATCAGCTGTCATGGAAGCCTTTCCTATAGCGATGTGCATCTCATGACTCAGGCCGATACGATACGCGTCTCGATGCATAGCCAACGATACGATACATTAAAGATACATATGAAGCAGCTACCGATGCGATGTGATACGATTCACCTCTATTACGATGCAGGGCTATCCGATTTCGATTCAATCCAACACAATGCAATTCGAGACAATACGATGCAATGGAGAAAATATGATCACTTTTAATGCCTCGAGGCCTGTTTCATAAAACAAGTTAACCAAATAAGCCAGGCTTATTTCAGTTAGTCTGACTCTTTGTCAAATTATTTGGTTCCATAAAGCAAATTTAACATAGAGCAACTTCAGTCACCGTGGCAACGTCTGCTGGGAAACTAACCTGGTCTAAAGCAGGTTAACTGTCAGACTAAGCTTAACACTGACCGATAGGAATGCTTTTTTTTACAGTTTCTAGCCAAGCAGAAAGGCTCTCTCTGGTTTTATGACAGCTGTACCTTTGCAGAACATATAGCAGAACAGAACATTACAATCTAAAACTGCTCTTTAAAGCATTAAAATAACTAAATTAAAAGTTAAAATCACTGAATTAAAATGAAAATAAATAATAAAGAAAATGACTATATTTTAACTGCTATAAGAAACACACATGAACTCATTTGAGCTTAGTAATTAGTCCTGTACTATAGCTTACATTTGATTAACCTATTACAATAGTTCACTTACATGTAGGTTTAAAATACACTTATATGTAGGTTTAAAATTCTACAAAAGACACATTTAATGTCCAAAAACAAATTTTAGCAAAATGTATATTTTACTCAGAATTATTGCGCGCCGTCTGTTTAGCGTGCATGCACGCAGCAGCACTCGTTCACTCGCGTCAGCCTCGTCCACTCCTGACAGCGAAATGGATATATTTGCATGACTTTCTAACATTTAAAGATGAAAAATATACCTGTGGCATGTCAGTTATGCACTGAGGAAAACGCAACGTCTCAAATGCATTAAACAGCACAGATATATTCGCAGTTTTCGAAGGTGGATCGATTTGATCCATGATCGACATTACGGGCTGCTTAAGAATAAGCGTGCACAAATTAGTGAGATTGTGTGAACTTAATTTGTCGTTAATGGAATACCGATGCAACTATGTTAGAAACGATGCATCGCGATATAAGTGACAACTTGTAGCCGATGCACACTTTTTAAACCGATGCATCGCATCGTTAACTTTTTATGCCGATGCACCGAGCGAATCGGGGAATCTTCCCATCCCTACTTTCCTACAGAAGACTGTTTTTGCCCCCATGAGATGACATCACTATTTTGGAACATTTCATGTAATGTTTTTTTTTTAAATTCCGTTTATAATGAAATGAAATCAGTCACGTTTCTTTTTTAAGGTTTTTCGAATAGGATGCGTTCAGGTGTTTAAAAACAGCCAGAGGGCAGCTGAACACTGCAGAACGAGACTTGTTTTTATAAGTTTAACTACGTTTTGCTTGACAGTGCTTCTTAAAAACACACTTAGTTGCTGGAGAAAAAAAAAAAACTAAAATGCAGCACAACATCCCCTTTTTTTTTTTTATTATAAATATTTATTTAGTAATTTGGATTAAAAAGTCAAAATGTTTCCTATACCTCTTTTTTGTAGCAAAATAAAACTATATATATATATATAATTACTATATAAATATTATAATTATTATATTGGTATTTATTATTTATATTTATGATAATGATATTTATCATACATTTATTTGTTGTTTTTTGTTGCAAAATAAAATATAGATAGATAGATAGACATAAAATGTTTTCATGTATTTTTGTTTACTAGACTGTTTCCATCTTGAACTAACAGTTTAGTACAGCATTTATGAATCTAGGTCACTGTTAATGTATAAATATACTACAGTGTTCGTTTAACATGCATTAAATAATATTAACTAACATAAAAAATTTTAAAATGCTGAAAATGTGCTCACCCTCAGGCCGTCCCAGATGTAGATGAGTTTGTTTCTTCATCAGATTTGTAGAAATGTAGCATTGCATCAGTGTCTCAGCAATGGATGCTCTGCAGTGAATGAACGTCGTGCGTGTGAGTCACACTCTCACACACACACACGCACACACACTCACACACATACACGCACACACACTCACACACATGCACACACACGAACGTTGCGATGGCGCCGACGTTGATGGCTGCCTCCGTGGCGTGCTCCGCAGTTGTTTTTATGATTTTGTTAGTTTGTCCTGTCTTTAGTTATATCCCTGCAATCAGTTTCACCAGAGACGAATTGCTGGACATTCGGAAGTCACTCTCTCACACACACACACACTCTCTCTCACGCATACACACACACTCACACACTCTCTCACTCACACACACACACTCTCTCACACATATACACACACACACACACACTCACACACTCTCTCACACATACACACACACACACACACACACTGAACTACATTGACGGCCAAAACCCCAGTAAGACAGTCAGCCTGAAAAGCATCATTCAGTGACGGGAGCTCGATGCTTTTGTTTGGTGTTTAATGGTGTTTGCGAATGCAACTGTCTCTAGTTTTGCGCTTAAATGGGCGATAAAATGAGTGAAAGAATCCCACAAAGCCATAGTTCAAAGAGCAGAAGATCACTTGCTAGGTTTCCATATAATTTTGAACTTGTGCTTGGGAATACCTCTGAATGCAAAAGCTTGAAATGCACAGAAACTCTCAAAGTTTGCACTATAGGCTTTTATTAAATTTTGCATACAGCAAAATGCACATTAACCCTGACATATGAAGAAATAGTCAGAAAATCACATTTTTGGAAATGACACTGTTCATTGAATATTTAGACAAAATCTAAAAAATAAAAACAGTGCGTTTTTTTTGAGTATCATATTTGATCCGTCAGGCTTTATGGCTCATATAGTCTGATATTGTGAGAATATGGAGGAAAAACAGCTTGATTTTATTCAGAGACTCAAACTGAGCAAAAATATGCAATTTGGTGCAGATGCTGATATTTATATGAAATTCTGATGTTTGTAATGTAATTCAATTTATAATAAATATTCATTCAATGTTAGATATATTAAAATATATTATTCATTATAATATTTTGTGTAAAGAACATTTTTATTTTAAATTTTTCATAATTTTCAGAAATAATTTTCATGACAATTAAGCATGTTTACCCCACATTTTTATTTTCCTTTTTTCTACTTCATTATTATATTTTACTTCATTGTTTATTTATTTAATGTCAGATTTATTAAAATAATATATTTATAATATATTTTCCAATTTGGCATAAAGAACTTTTTTTTTTTCTTTAAATAATTTTGAGGAATAATTTACATGACAGTTTAGCATTTTACCCTATGCATATTTTAAGCTAAATACTGAGAAATTGTAGCAATTGCTAAGTTGTTTTCGTTTATTTATTTATTATTTATTTGTTTGTTTAATGTTAGATTTATTAAAATAATGTATTATTAATTAGAAATTATATTATAAATGTATACAATTTTGCATGCATTTTTTCATGACAATTAAGCATATTTATCCCCGTGCTAATTTTGCCTTAAACTAGATACTGAAAACGTTTAGTAATTGGTACGTTTTTATTTATTTATTTTTAGATTTCTTAAATAATATATTATTAATTATGAATTATATTATAAATTATAATATTTTGCTTAAGGACATTAGTTAAGGAATAGTTTTCATGACAAATAAGCATATTTACCCACCATTCTTATTTTACTTTTAGACTTTACCCAAATAAAGTAATGATTATTAACCTTAGAAATTAAGGCTTTCTAGGGTTAAGATGTTGTTTTCTGCATAGTCGTGATTGAGTTTCATTGTCCAGTAGGGCTGTCAAAATGACTGAAAAACTAAATTCGAATTTTCCATTGAAATATTATCAAAATTCGAATTATATTCGAATTTAAAAGGCATAATTTCAGTTAGGAGGGAAAAAAAGCTTTTGGCTTCTCTCCTGATGCCACAAGAGGGCGCATCGAGCAAAATATTATGCACGTTTCTTCAAAGCGTAATGAACATCCCGCTCTCTTGTGCGAGACGCGAGTGCAACGCTGATAGACATCCCTCTAGAAAATGTGATAAATATGTGTTCTGTGTGAACGGCTTGGTTTCAGTTTC